CTGCAATAGACCAGCGCCCACGAAATTATCAACACGTGTCCTCTCGTCTGAGGCCTAGTGATAACTACCCCATACCACTGCCTGCTACTACTGCCAAGAAAAATGCTCAGAAGAGGTGTTTTGTCTGTGGACATACCACAAAACGGCCACAAAAACGCAGAGACACTCGTTTTATGTGTGAGGAATGTAAGACACCATTGTGCTTATACCCATGTTTCAAAGAATTCCACAAGCTGCAGCAGTTCTAGAAAAGTGTCCAGTGATTGTACATATGTATATGCAGGAAGGCCCCCGCTTTACGGCGTTTCACTTTACGGCGTTCCGCTAATACGGACATTTCAAATTATGACCAAAACTCTCTATACGGCTCCCCCCACCTGACTTTCTAATACGGTCACCGTGCCCCACCCTGTTTGTTTACATTCTCCATGAGCTCAGTAAGCACTAAGTCTCTCCATTTTGTCTGGAAACTCCAAAATTTCAAATGTTTTTAAAAGTTATTTCATATTTTATATATACTCTGATAATTATACTTATGTATACCTGTACCTAAATAAACTTACATACATCGAGTCATTTAAATGTCGTATATTTTCGTTAATATACACATTTTCATTAATCCATCCATGATATTTTTTTCAAAATTATATAATAAACACGATGCATAACATATAAATAAGATAAATACACCCACAGTAGAATAAATAAACATAAATGTGAGATGTGAGCAGACGACTTCCACAAGTGACCCCATAATAACAATACTCACGAGTCTCATTAAATGTCGTATATTACGGTAATATACACATTTTCATTAATCCATCCATGATATTTTTTTCAAAATTATATAATAAACACGATGCATAACATATAAATAAGATAAATACACCCCACAGTAGAATAAATAAACATAAATGTGAGATGTGAGCAGACGACTTCCACAAGTGACGCCATAATAACAATAGTCACCGAGTCTCATTAAATGTCGTATATTACGGTAATATACACATTTTCATTAATCCATCCATGATATTTTTTTCAAAATTATATAATAAACACGATGCATAACATATAAATAAGATAAATACACCCCACAGTAGAATAAATAAACATAAATGTGAGATGTGAGCAGACGACTTCCACAAGTGACGCCATAATAACAATAGTCACCGAGTCTCATTAAATGTCGTATATTACGGTAATATACACATTTTCATTAATCCATCCATGATATTTTTTTCAAAATTATATAATAAACACGATGCATAAACATATAAATAAGATAAATACACCCCACAGTAGAATAAATAAACATAAATGTGAGCTGTGGTAGCAGACGACTTCCACAAGTGGTGATAATAACAATAGTCACCGAGTCTCATTAAATGTCGTATATTACGGTAATATACACATTTTCATTAATCCATCCATGATATTTTTTTCAAAATTATATAATAAACACGATGCATAACATATAAATAAGATAAATACACCCCACAGTAGAATAAATAAACATAAATGTGAGCTGTGGTAGCAGACGACTTCCACAAGTGGTGATAATAACAATAGTCACCGAGTCTCATTAAATGTCGTATATTGCGGTAATATACACATTTTCATTAATCCATCCATGATATTTTTTTCAAAATTATATAATAAACACGATACATAACATAAAAAGATGATAAATACACCCCACAATAGAATAAATAAACATAAATATAAGATGTGGGAGCCTGGTTTGTTTACATAACTCTGCGCCTGTTTACCTCTCATGTACTCATTCTTTCTCTCTCTCATTTATTCGTTTTATCTCATTTACTTACTCCTGACCCTACATTAAGACTACAAATATTTTAAGGTAAGTAATGAGTGAACTGTATATACATTTTATCGCTCTGGGATGCTTAAATATCATAGAATAGTATGTGTGGGTGGGGTGGCCTGGTGAGGTAGCCTGGCTATTACAATACATACCACACTTGATTTCTTACAATAAATACTACTTGTCTCACCGTAGATTAAGACTATAAATATTTTAAGGTAAGTAATGAGTGCACTATGTGTGTATTGTACTTTTTTATTGTTTTTTGATGCCTGGTTCTATTGCTAACATAATATATGTTAGTGTAAACTTGTTATCTAGTGTTTGTATGCATTTGTAAGTGGAAAAAAAGGGTGTTCCACTTTACGGCGGTTTCCGCTTTACGGCGGTAGCCTGGAACCTAACCCGCCATATAAGTGGGGCCTTCCTGTATATTATAAAACAATCGTAATAAACGTTTGTCTATATTGTTTGTTTGTGTAAACAAGTTTTAGCAACATTATAATGATACGAGTGTTTTTGCTGTAATTGTGTTACATTCAACAAGTGTGTATTTGAGCATTGCACAATAATTTGGTCTCACAGGCCACAAAAGTTATGTGAAAAAATAAAATAGTGAAAAAAACAAGAAACCATCGAATACAAGTAAATCAAAGTTTACCGGGTGAGCGGCAGTCGCCGCTGTTGCCATTCGCAGATAAATTTCAGCAAACTTCAGGGCTTTATATCTCAGTAAGTACTGATGGGAAAATTTTTTTTTTTTTGGACTAAAACAATCAGAAAAATAATCTTAACATTTTCATAAGATTTTTTTTTTTTTTTTTTTTTTTTTTTTTTTTTCAAATATTTTGCGACACCAGGAGACACTTCAGGATTGGGCCTTTCGACAGTCAAAGGGTTAATGAAGCTCGTTTCCGCAGAAAGTCGCTCTGCCACGTCTGAAGGATGACCAGGAGCATTGTCTAATACCAAGAGGCACTTAAGGTCCAATTTCTTTTCAGTTGGGTAATTTTTCACAGTGGGGGCAAATGCATGGTGTAACCAGTCATAGAAAAAGTCCCTAGTGACCCATGCCTTACTGTTTGCCCTCCACAGCACACACAAATTAGCCTTGAGGATATTCTTTTGCCTGAACGCTCTGGGAGTTTCAGTGTGATACACTAATAAAGGCTTCACTTTGCAATCACCACTAGCATTGGCACACATTAACAGAGTAAGCCTGTCTTTCATAGGCTTATGTCCTAGGAGTGCCTTTTCCTCCTGAGTAATGTAGGTCCTGCTTGGCATTTTCTTCCAAAACAGGCCTGTTTCATCACAATTAAACACTTGTTCAGGTTTCAGTCCTTCACTGTCTATGTACTCCTTGAATTCCTGCACATATTTTTCAGCCGCTTTGTGGTCTGAACTGGCAGCCTCACCATGCCTTATCACACTATGTATGCCACTACGATTCTTAAATCTCTCAAACCAACCTTTGCTGGCCTTATATTCACTCACATCACCACTAGTTGCAGGCATTTTTCTAATTTAATCGTCATGCAGCTTCCTAGCCTTTTCACATATGATCGCTTGAGAGATGCTATCTCCTGCTATCTGTTTTTCGTTTATCCACACCAATAACAGTCTCTCAACATCTTCTATAACTTGCGATCTCTGTTTCGAAAACTAAGTTGCACCTTTGGCAAGAACAGCTTCCTTGATAGCCGTTTTCTTGGCCACAATAGTAGCGATGGTTGATTGGGGTTTTGTGTACAGCCTGGCCAGCTCGGAGAGACGCACTCCACTTTCATACTTAGCAATGATCTCTTTCTTCATATCCATAGTAATTCTCACCCTTTTTGCTGTAGGGTTGGCACTAGAAGCTTTCGTGGGGCCCATGGTCACTTATTTTGCAGGTGCAATCACTGAAAAGGCTGTGATAATATGAAATGTTCCGATTGTATGCTTGGAAGTGACCGCGGTGGCTGGCTTGTAAACACTGGCACCCACGGAACAAGTGAGGCGGGCTCAGGCTGCATGTGGACGCTTCTCGAACGAATCGCGTTGAGTGAGTTTTTTAGCGCTAGCCGAGGCAAATTTTTTGCGTTAAAATGTATCGCTAGGCGGATTTAACGTTATGCGATGCATTCGTTAGGCGAGGGTCCACTGTATATCTTCGATTCTATGAAATGAGACCAAGAAATCACGAATACAACTGTAAAATACTTAAGAAAAAACACTGCTGTTGCTGTTTTATTTCAAGAATACGGTCGCAGTTTTTTTCTCGTTATTCACTGCATGCTGCAGGATTTGTTTTATGTGGTGCACACTTATCACATAGGTGTATTCTCTCATATCTAGGCCCATTTGAGTAAGCTGAGCTCATGACGTAGAACTGCGGTTTGGACCCTGGCATCAAAGTCATAGAATTATGGGACGGACCCCTCAAAGGGCTAATATATGCTGAAAATAAATTCGAAGCAAAGGTTGGTTTCAAAGATTCAAGGAAATCAACCAACTTGACAACATCAGAGTACAGGGTGAAGCAGCAAGTGCCAACACTGTAGCTGCAGAAAATTATCCACATGAGCTAGCTGGGATAATTGAATGTGGTGGATATACCAGGCAACAGACTTTTAATATGGATGAAACCTCATTATTTTGGAAGAAGATGCTCTCTAAGACATTTATTTCTAAGGAAGAGAAGTCAATGCCTGACTTCAAAGTTGCAATAGGTAAACAAACAAACACAATCTTTATATCTCTCTGTGGTATAAAAAAGTAGTTAAGCAAGTAATTAAGAGAGGTTAACACACTTGCTAGGGGCTAAAATTAGGGGCTTATACTACTCACCACTCACTATAAACTAAAGATGAAAGTATTTTAAGGTAAGTAATGAGTGTAATGTTTTTTTAGGCCTAATTCTATTCTTCATGCACTTAGGTGCATTTTACAGTAATTTTCACTTTACAGCATTAGCCTGGAAACTAACCCGCCATATAATTGAGGACCTCCTGTAATTGTGAAAATGCATTTTCTCAGTATGCATATTGAGGGCCTACTGTATATTATTTTGAAATCAAGTACTGTACATGTATCAATGTGTGTGCTCTATTAGCTATTTCGTTTCAGGTTTTCTGATGTATTTTGGTTATCACAGATTTTACATTGCCAGTAATTACTTTTATTCTTTCAGGAATTGTTGCTGTCCTATTCTGTGGTATTTGTCAAGCACACTACACATACAATAATCTCTCGGTGGAGAGTCGTGTAGCTACCAAAACTCTCTTTGAATTACTCAACTTTCTGTCTGAAAATTTTATCTTCTCTTACATCGGTGTCTCGATGTTCACATTTGACCACCACAAATGGGACCCAGGATTTATCTGCATTGCATTTTTGGCTGTCATCGCAGGAAGGTTCTTAAATATTTACCCACTTTCCTGCTTGCTCAATATTGGTCGCCGCCCTAAGATTCCTCTCAACTTCATGAACATGCTGTTCTTCTCAGGTATGTTCTTTGGGTAAGCATTAGATATGTATCAACTCTTACTTCATAGAATTTGGAATGGATTTGCCCTTATTCTCTTACAGATGGTTTGGCAGTAAATATTGTGGGAAAAGGGTAAAAGATAAAGCATGTTATGGAAAATTAGTACAGTAGTAGAAAAAATAATGTTTGTGAAAGAGCAAGAGGGTTGAATAACATATTGGGAATAGTTAGATTATGTACCTGTTGGAATTATAAGTGTTTTTCACAGTTAAGCCAACCGTCCTTGTAACACTTGTGTACTAATTTTGGGAAATAAAATATTACAGTAATTTATGTACAGTATAAATAAAACACTTTCATGTATTTCTAAAAATAATATTTTTTACAAACTCACAAATGGAAAATGAAAATTGGATGTTTTGACTCATCTCAAAACATTATTAACCCCCTAAACGGTCCAAACGTATATATACGTTCTTACCGCTAGTGACCCAAACGTATATATACGTTTTAATTTTCCTGCGTCCAAATTTGGCACGATTGGCCTGAGATGCCAGGTCAGCATAGAATGGGTCTTAACACTCGGTGTGCACCATATTAAAAAAATCTGGGACCACTTAGTACCTTGTGGGAATGCCAGTTAAATTGAGCGGCAGGTCAGGGAAACAGTGCGGGATACACCAAGGTTTCACTGATGTAATGTCATATTAACACTCCCCTTTTAAGAGGAAAGTGATGTCAACCCCAAGTTTAGGGTCTGTCTATCTCTGCATCTGTCTTTTTGTCTCTGTCTATCTGTCTCAGTCTGTCTCTCTATCTCTTTTTATCTGCCTAACAGGTACACACAAATAAAATTATACATAGTGTAAATTACCTAGGATAACCTAAAAAATCTGAAGTGCTATACTGTGCTTGTATATATTATGCATATGAATAACAAAAAGGCACAATACTGTGACTGGAACGATACACAAATAACCCGCACATAAAAGAGAGAAGCTTACGACGACGTTTCGGTCCGACTTGGACCATTGACAAAGTCACACTGTGACAGTGTGACTTTGTCTATGGTCCAAGTCAGACCGAAACGTCGTCGTAAGCTTCTCTCTTTTATGTGCGGGTTATTTGTGTATAATGCATGTGAATACCTGTTGGTTCACAGACAGACAAGCAGAGAGACGGAAAGAGGCAAGCAGACAGAGAGACAGATAATCAGAGACAGAGATACGAGCTCATCAAATGTCATTCCCTTATCTCTGCACCCTCGCTGGTGCCCATCGAATGTTATAGCTTATCTCCTCTTATCTCAGCACTGTCTCATCTCTGCACTGTCTCATCTTATCTCTGCACCCTCACTGGCACCCATCAAATGTCATCTCATGTCTCTTCACTGCCCTCCCGGATGTTTGTCACATTGCTTCAAGGGAGCTTCTTCCTTCTTCCTCCTCTTTCTTCCTTCTTCCTTCTTCTTCTATACTCCCGTGTATCCAAAACATTGCTGGGACCTATAAATGCTTTGTATATATTCCTAGACAATAGTAAATGACCAAGGCAGGTGTAAATGTCCACCTGTCAATGTGTTTGTGACAATTTGAGTGCAATTTCAGTACCTAATATTAGTGTCAGAACAAAGATTGGTTATGAAATGCCAAGAAATACAATAAATTGTAATTATCAGAACATGAAAATTATATAAAGTAATATAAAAATGAGAAAAAATGGTATATCGGCAACACTTCCACAAGCAGCAGGACTCAGTGGTGCTGTCAGGTGGGCATTAAGTGCCAACTTTGGAGACTCATATCTCAGTAAGTACTGACCCTAATTTTTTTTATTTTAATCATTACACTTAGAAAAATTTTCTCTGTATTTCAATGAAAAAAAAAAATATTTTTTTATTTTTCAAAATATTCGGGCCACTATGGGAGAGAACGTATATATATGTTTGGACCATTTAGGGGTTAAGTAAAGAATAGAAAGGTGCATTACCATGATTGGAACAACACACAAATAACCAACACATTGGAGAATGAAACTTAAGACAATGTTTCGGTACAGTTGGGACCATTAACTACTCACACACAAGTGCAAAGGGAAGGAAGCCAGTACGTATATACAGCCTCTCCTCACTTAACGACGGAGATAGAGCCCACAGACCACATCAGTAAATGATATTGTTTTAATGTCACCTTTACATTTCTGGTATATTTTTAAATGTTTATACAGCAGTGTACTCTATGAAGATTGAGACACTTATGCAGCATATGGGAATCTTTATTCAGGAAACGTTTCGCCACACAGTGGCTTCATCAGTCCAATACAAAGAGGAAGGCATAAGGAGAGGAGTAGTATGAGGTAATCAGTCCCTCAGCCTGGAGTCGATGTGTTCAGTCCACATCGACTCCAGGCTGAGGGACTGATTACCTCATGCTCCTCCTCTCCTTACGCCTTCCTCTTTGTATTGGACTGATGAAGCCACTGTGTGGCGAAACGTTTCCTGAATAAAGATTCCCATATGCTGCATAAGTGTCTCAATCTTCAACTTGTTGGTTTTTCAAACCATTCATCACAAGTGTACTCTATATTGTAATAAACAGAATTGAGGAAATCAGCTGTAATATACATTATTTAGGTATAATTACTGGTCAGAGAGCCCATTGTAAGTCTGAGGCGTCAGTAAACGAGTACGTCACTAAGTGAGGAGAGGCTGCATTTAAGAGGGAGGGGGCAGGGCTGGGGTGGGTCCTGGAGTAGTAGAACAAGAGGTAGTAGTACAATTGTATAAGTATTGGTAGAGGTGGTGGTAGTAGCAGCAGCAGCAGCGGCAGCAGCAGCAACAACAACAACAGTGGCAGCACGAAGAAGGAAGTAGTGTTATTGACACATGATAACAAAATAAGGCACAATACCGTGACTGGAACAATACAATTATGAAGATGTTTCGATCTGACTTGGACCATTTCCAAAGTCATGCAACAAAAAGGAGAGGAGGAGGAAGTATACATAGGCCAGCAGACAGGGACAGGACAAGAGAATTAATAGTACTAGTGGAGTCAGTCAAACACTAAGAAAGAGGAGCACTGCAAGGGAGCTAGGCACCTGCAGAGGGTAGGAGCAAGAACACAGAGGGGGGAAAAACTAATAAAGGACAAATGCTGAAGGCAGAAGTAAGAAAACCCAAGGGAGAAGGGGAAAAAAGAATGGTGTTAAGTCACGGGTGTTCTGAAGTTTATACGTACATGTAATAGGAAAGGAAGACATCTACAGACACAAAGCCAGGACTAAGATTCATACAAGGAAAGTTGTGTATGAGGGAGGATTCAACCAGATGGCGACTGCGAAAGTTAGAAGTAGGGTAGACAGTTTTAGCAGAAGACCAGTCAGTAGGACGACTGTGATCTCTGACGTGACAGAAAAGAGCATTGTGTCGGCAAGCCCAACACTACTTTTGTGCTCTCTGAGTCGTTCAGAAAGAGAATGGCCAGTTTCTCCAAAATACTGAAGAGGACAGGAGGAACAAGAAATAGAGTAGACACCAGGAGCATCTGTAGAAGGAGGAGAGGTATGAATTAGATTAGTACAAAGAGTGTTAGTCTGGCAAAAAGTAAGTTTGATGTCTAAGGAACGGAGAGAATTGTTGAGATTAGAAAGACCGGAAATGTAGGGAAGGCAGAGGACAGGAGAGTTCCCAGGAGTAGAGAGTTTGGGAGAGAAGAAAGTCCATTTAGCACATGAGAAGGCAGTGGCATGTACATTCACTAATTTTCTTATCATGCTTCCTTTGTCAAGAAAAGTGTTCTTATTTCCCTCTTTCTCTGAGCTCTCCGCATTTGTGATCCTCAGTCCCTTGAATCAGAAATTTCCTCTCTTCATAATTCATTTTCCCATCTTGGCTCAACTTCTCACATGCTAAACGGACTTTCTTCTCTCCCAAACTCTTTACTCCTGGGAACTTTAAACCAAATACATGGTCACAGTTTTTTCTGCATCATGCATTGTGTGGAGCAGGATTTTTTAATCCTTAAACAGTCCAAACGTATATACAGGAGGGCCCCGCTTTACGGCGTTCCGCTTTACGGCGTTCCGCTAATACGGACATTTCAAATTATGACCAAAACTCATATACGGGCCCCCCCACCGACTTTCAATAAAGGTCACCGTGCCCACCCCGTTGTTTACATTCTCCATGAGCTCAGTAAGCACAAGTCCTCCTTTTGTCTGGAAACTCCAAAATTTCAAATTTTTTAAAAGTTTTTTATATTTTATATATACCTAAATTTTACTTTTTTTATAACCCGTACCTAAAAAAACTTACATACACAAGTCATTTTAAAAGTCGTAATTTTGTTAAAATACACATTTTTATTTAATCCATCCATGATATTTTTTTCAAAAATTTTTAAAAAACCGATGCTAACATAAAATAAGATAAAAAAACCCCCCCAGTAGAATAAATAAACATAAATGGAGCTGGAGCAGACGACTTCCACAAATGGTGATAATAACAATACTGAGGGCCATTAAATGTCTATATTCGGAAAATACACATTTTTATTAATCCCCCATGAATTTTTTTTAAAATTATATAATAAACACATACATAACTATAAATAAAATAAAAACCCCCACAGTAGAATAAAAAACATAAAAAGTGATCTTGGTAGCAGACCTTCCACAAATACGCATAAAACATATCACGGAGTCTCATTAAATGTCGTATATTACGGTAATATTCACATTTTCATTAAACCATCCAGATTTTTTTTCAAAAATAATAAAAACGTGCATAAAATAAAAATAAGATAAAACCCCCACAAGAATAAATAAACAAAATTGAGCTTTAAACAAAGACTTCCCAAGTGGTGATAAAAAAATACTGGTCTCATTAAATGTCGATATTTCGTTAATATACACATTTTTTAATCCATCCCCAAAAATTTTTTCAAAATTAATAATAAAAACCCATGATAAAAATAAATAAAATAAATACACCCCACAGTAGAATAAAAAAACATAAA